CCACCACCACCACCACCAAAAACCACGTCCACCACCACCAAAAACCACGTCCACCACCACCAAAAACCACGTCCACTACCACCAAAAACCACGTCCACCACCACCAAAAACCACGTCCACCACCACCAAAAACCACGTCCACCACCACCACCACCACCACCACCACCACCACCAAAAACCACGTCCACGACCACGACTACCACGATTACCACGACTACCACGACTACCACGACTACCACGACTACCACGACTACCACGACTACCACGACTACCACGACTACCACGACTACCACGACTACCACTACTACCACCACTACCACTGCTACCACTGCTACCACTACCACTACTACTACTACTACTACTACTACTACTCCTGCTGCTGCTGCTACTACTACTACTACTACTACTCCTACTACTACTCCTACTCCTACTCCTACGGCTACGGCTACGGCTACGGCTACGGCTACGGCTACGGCTACGGCTACGGCTACGGCTACTGCTACTGCTACTGCTACTGCTACTGCTACTGCTGCTACACACTAGACTAAGGCTGCCTTCCTGCATCATAACGGCTTCACACCGTGTGACGGCCTCCCCCAAGTACGTCTAAATATAGCTGGCGGCACAAGCTTTTTACATTTGGGAGCGCAGGGTTTAGGGTTTAGGGAACCCTTGTCCGAAGATGTCCGCAGTGTATGGGGCGCAGCCGTATGGAGTCTAAACATGTTTGTGCAGCTGCAGGTATGTCTGTACCTACGTCTACGACTCTGAAACACACACGTCGTCCGGAACTTGGCATAGCTGGGCGTTGGGTGTTTCCTTGTGACATTATCCCGACGCCTATCGTGCGTTTCAGGTTTTTAGCAATCCTGGATGCCGGTAATCTCTCAGCGGGCCCACTTGCAGAGGCCGTCATTGAGATGCGGGTGTACCTGAGCGAGTCTTGCACGCGTTCAGACGATGCCAGGTGCAGTTGCCAAGCCATGTACCCTACTCTTTTCACGGAGAGTGGGTTCCCGGCCACCTGAACCGGAAAGCAGTGGCAGTTCTTGATTTCAACATTTTCAAGCCTCATCCTGGTGTTTTTATGTGCGCTGCATGACGATGCACAAAGGTGCAGTAGATGTTCTTCGGCTTGCAAGATCTGATTGGCCTTCGACATGACCGTGGTGATTGGGACAATCCGCAGCTGACCAGCATCCACACGGTTGCGCTGAGCCGATGTCCTACCGTCCAGGGCGGCGGACGCGTTCATCGATGCTGGACCTGGTTCTACAGCCTGCGAACCTCGCTGCGCGCAGTCGCGGCCTGCGGGCCTCTTGCCGTGTGTGAACGTAGCGTGCGGGCGCACCATGGAAGACGGAGTCGAAAAGCTGTTCTCAATCTGCTGGTCCCGACTGAAGCAAAGCTCTGCAACGATAACTTTGCTGGGCTGCAGGTCAAGCAGGAAAAGCCCTGCACCTCTCGCTGCGCTTTTGGAGGACATTTTGCTCGTTATCGCCTCGTCATTTCGGCCCTGACTGGGTCTGAACCAAGCACTCTTGTATGGCGAGGAAGGCGAGTAAAAGCCGAGATCTCAGAGAGCCTTGCATTCGACAGCAGACAGACCTGCCGAGCATGCACCAGTTGCTAGATCTCATGTGAATGCACAGCAGAAGGCGACATGAGGCGACTGTCGGCTCACACCCCTCAGCTTGTCCGACGATAACAGGCCGAACAGCGGAAGCCCTCACCGACATGCCCAAGGCCCCGGGTTTTCCGTGGATCCGACAGTGCGCAAAGATACCGAGCAGGCCAAGCATCAATAGTCCTGACTCGGGATCCCGCCGACATGCCGGAAAAGGGCCAGGCTTGGGCAGCTACCATTGCGTGATGCTTCATGTCGCTTCGAGCACTCTCTCTCGCGGTGAGCCTTGCAACACTGCGCCAGGTGCTCCGGCGGAGGTGCATGATGTGCATGAAGGAGAACTTGAAGAGAATCCAAGGGTCACTCGACCGTCTCGACCCTAGAGCCATGCGTTTCGATGCCATCATAGGAAGGGCTAGGAAGTACCAGTACACAGAATCCGAGTCTACTTCAGATCGATTCTACTCTATCGGTCAGACGACGTCGTCGTGGTGAAGTGCACCGCAGATAGCAGCAAGCGTGCAGTGAACTCCCTGAGAGCAATTGCAGACATATGCATTCAACTCAGGGATTGGAGTTCACTGTGACTCAGGGGCACTGTATTACACCTACGCCCATGCGTGGCATATGCATTCCATCTCCAATTGGTCGATCTTTCCCACGGTATCGGATACGATCAAGGCTGTTTCGGCATAAATGTTTGGGAAAGGGACAAATTGCCTAAGAACGTGTGCGATGCCGGGAAGCAAACCCTCAGCGTGACTTCCAGTGTCTCTATCATATGTGGAAGCCTCGCGATTTCATAGCGAAGCGGAGGCCCTGCTTTTGCTTGCACCCGTGCGCCAGGTGTACACAGATGTTCGCTTATGCCGCTGTTCAGGTCTCACCGTGAATTGGCGCCGATGCGCTCTCTGCTGCGCTCAGCTTCTGAGGACAAGCTGGGGTGAATCTGAGTGTTCGAAGCACACCTTGTTGCCTTTCCTGCCAGGATGCTCAGCGCAATCAGACTCAGAGCCAGGTGCAAATGCCAGGGTTCTGCAGTGCTCGGACCTTGTCAAGCTTGTTGCCAGCACAGAGGTTACTTCCTATGCGTGGCAGCAGAGCCGTGTGCGGTGCTGGTTTTGTCGCAGGTAGTTTTCACCGACCAGCCGGTGGCTCGGACTGCCGGGACTGCCTGTGGCTTCGGCAGAGCATCAGCAGATTCTTTCCCGCGTTGCCGCATCGCTGTGTTCTTCTGCGGTTGAGGCCCAAAAACATCGAGATTGAATCTTTCAAGGATTTGATGTCTGAACTTTGGTATCCGAACGCCGGAGCCTTAGTCAATTAGAGCTTTTGACTGGTAGAGCTACCGAGCACTCAAGGATGACACGTGCACCTGCGAGCTGTGCGGGAAGCGGGTTCGGGTTGGCACCGCCCCCAATGCCAAAGAACAGCGGGTGCCAGGGTATGACAGGGAATTGCCCACGCTTGGAAGCAAGTTGATGCCATTGGTCGCACAGGCATCGAAGCCTGGTACACTTCGACCAGAGAACAGTTCTCCCAATTCACCCAAACAGAGGCACGCTAAAGTCCTGCTCCGTGTAACGCACGACTGCTACCGTGGAACTTTCATCTTTGCAGGTACTTTGCAAGTCATGTCGTCTGGCACGGAAGTTCGAGGAGGTCGGCGGCTGGTTTCTGGTCGCATGTGCAGCCGGGCTCTGAGAATTTGAGGGTTTAGGGTTTCTTCTGTGTCTGAGAGCGTTGCTTGGCCCTGCTCAGTGCCGTGACTCCGACTCCGCCTTGCCCAGCAGCCTCGAGCCCAGAGGGCCCGGTGTGAGCGCTTCCTGAGAAGCGGCTGCCGCGCTGAGTCGACCTTGTGAAAACCATCGCCGACATCCTGGAAATGGGCCTTCAGCTTGGCTTACCTTGGGTTTGCTAAAAAAACATTCAAAACTCCAAAACCTGCCAAGGGCCAGGTTTCCTTTCTTTACCATCCCGCTCTTCGCCCCGTTACCGCACCACACACACACTGAAGTGTGGGGGCAAGTTACGTGTAGTGTAGGCTTTTTTAGCATGACGGTGTGCAAGCAAACACTGAGGTCCAGGTCTTCCTGGACGCAGGCTAGACATCCTCACCGATCTCCTTGGTGAAGAGGTACCCTGTAGACATCTAGCAGCCTTCAAACACGGCGGGTTAGCTAGAACACGAGGTTATGTCGGCAAGTGGCTACTGACCTTTCAGGTCCATGATGCAGAGTCGTGGCAGCAGGTGTTGCTCAAGGCACAATCATTGTCTGCACGAAGACACTCGCTCTGGCAGAACTTCGTAATGCTCCTGCTACCCTGTTGCTGCAGCGATTAGACCCTGGAAAAGCCTAAATTCTGTTGCATGCTTGCTGCATGCTTGCCGTTGTGGCTGGAGGCTGCTGAGGCAGCGCTACAGCTCTTCCCAGAAGGCCCGGAGCTCTCTTTGGTATCTTTCGACTCTGCCCAGCTGCAGAGCGCCCTAAGGCGATGATTCCTCAGCGCGCATGCTAAGCAAGAGCCTTGGGGCACGAAGCTGCTCGATTTTTTCTAGCCTGCAAGACTTGCTCACCAGTGTGGTCTTGTCCTAGGCAGCCCGTCCAGGATGGATGGTGAGGTCGAGGCTCCGTCGAAGTAGAGTCGCAACTTCCAGTCGAGAAACCAATACGTGGGCAGGTGGCGATAGAGGAGTCACCTTCGCCTCCTGCAAGTGAGCCTAGCACCAGGGCAAGCACCTAGATGCTTTGTACATGATGCTGGACGTTGCAACGGAATGCAGTGCCATTGCAAAGCACTCAAGAATTCGAATCGACCATTTGGCCTGAGCTATCACACTCAGCCTTTGCTGCAATTATTTCACTGCTACTAGTATCAAACCCGACCTACACATACCTGCACGCAGTGTTGACAGCCGCGGGGAAGAGTGTGTAGAATTTATTCAGGCGGGTCGGCCAGCACAGGCCTTCGCCCCACAGGACCTGTGCAGGGTTTCACTCCCTCGCCTGTAATATGGCACAAAGCGCAGACAGATGTGAAGCTGTGAGAACGCCTTCAAGTCTGCCTACAGCAGCCTCTTCCTAAGCAGCTGCAAACAGGCAAAGCGGCTTTTGTGCCCCACAGTTTCAGCTGCTCTGAGCTCTGGGTCTTCGACTACGTCTACCCCGCAGAAAATCGGTTGTGAACCGGTTGGAGCTCCCGGGTGCAAGGGCTCTGGGCCGTAACTCGCCCAGGCCACGCCGGCTCGGCCCGGCTCGGCTTGTGGTTTGGACGCGCGAAGCGTAAGAGACGTTTGAAAAGGCCAGGGTCGCTCCTTGCTTCTGAAGACGGCGGTGCGCGCGGGGCGGCTTCGCGGTCTCTGGATCTCATGCCCATCGGATGTTCGGCTGAGGAGCATAGCTGAAGCCTGACCGAAGACTGCACATGCAAGCGAAGCGTTGTGATTAGAGGCAAGCTGGATCATGCTGGATCGATGCCGATGGCGGGGCAGTTGCGAAGTTGAGCTCTGAAAGTGGCCTGTGCAGCATCGCAGCCATGCGACCCCCAAGCCCATCGCGGGCAGCGCCTGTCAGGAGCAAAGCGGACTGCAATCCTGGGGGTTTTGAGTTGTCAACTGGAAGCCTCTCTGCTGTCACCCCTTCCCATGAAGCCTTTCATGGCTGAGTGCAGCAATAGCTTGGCTTCAACAGTTTTGGTCTCGGGTCTGGCCCATGTTCTTACGACGTCCCGGCATAAATATCATGCGTGCTTGCTGCAAATGCTCTGGCTGCGAGGACCGGTTTGTTGGATGAACCAGAAATGCGACCCAACTGCAAATGGGCAGACGTGACCGGCGTTTGGATGCCATTGATCTGCGATATCCTGCGATGCAGGCGTCCGCGCCTCGCCTCTTCTTTAATGAACCGCGAGGCGCTGACCACCAGGAGCGGGATTCATGGGCTTACTGTGGTTACATATAAGGTGTCTCAGTTTGTCATTAGGATTGTCAGGGTTTCTGTTCTGGCTGGCAGGACTCGACGAGGATCCATGACCGACCGGTGCCCTGACATGTTTGGACATGCCCAGAAAAAGAGATCGTGTGATGTGAGCGTGCTGTGCATCATGCGAGGTCACCGCCTCGTCGTGCAGCTTTTCGACGGTTGACCAGAAGGCAAAGTTGACACGTTGACATGTCGTTGGTCAGATCTTCGCTTCATCGCAGGAGCCTTCTAGCTGCTACTAGCTTGCGATCGTCTGTGAGTACTTGTATCTTAGTACAGGGCAGCGGCAGGTCCTTAATTTGCTCGAGCTCCGGCCAAAACAGGGACAGCTGCAGAATGTGAGATTGGACAGGGCTCTGCAGTCCTAGAGGCACGGCATCTTTAACCACGACTAAGCGACTAATGCTGTGACTTGAGGCCGGGACACGCTCGGGGAATGTTGTTGGTGGATGTTCCAAACAATAAAGCAGCTGTGCCTTCCATGCATGAGAGGCTGCTCTGCAGCAGGGGCTTGGGAGTGGTGCCTGTGCCAGGAACTCCCAGTTTGGGCCTGCCTGGCTCTCAGAAGGGTTAGGTCAGCTGTCGCAGCTGATTTTGTTGTCAAGAGCACCAGAGACCAGAGACAGACCAGAATCTGCTGCAAAGGGTACCATGAGCTTGGGTCTTCGTCACACCCGCGTCAACGACATCCTGGCGACCTTTGGCGAGGCGCCGCGTGGAGCGTGTGCGCGTGCGTGCATCTAGGTGGGATCTGATCGTATTGCGAGATGCTCGAATCCGAGCAGCAAAGTGGGATCTTAGGCACCATGCCGCTCCTATGAGGGACTGCACATGATTGCTTTGACTTGCAGTGTGTGTTCGTGCAGACTTTGCACCTGCTGTGCCCACAGTTCTAGTGTGTCGTTTGGGCGAGTCATGTGTTGCTTGGCGTAGTCAATACTTCTGTTGATTGGGCCAGCTGTGTGTAAGTTAGCCTTGTCTTAGTGCGGCTTCTGCCCTGTGGTGCCCACGGTGGTTCTTTGCTTCTAGCACAGATACTGTAAGATCTCGCATTGCTCGCATGTCTCGCACTCCTTGACCCCATATATCCAGGAGGAGACTATCACCTCGCGCCGCCCTTCGTCCTTGCCTGGCGGCTTAGACAGCCAAGGAGGAGCTCGGATGCCTATTGAAGAAACAATCACAGGTAGTCTGAAATGCAGACAACCTGCGGCCTGCAGGAGCTGGCTTTGGCTATTTTCAGGACAGGTTAGTGTCACTTCTCATGCGAGACTTGATTTTGGCTTCCAGCGCCAATCCCGCCTGATGTTGTGGCGACGATACCTCCACTACATGTGAGTGTGCCCTTAATCTCCGCTTCCCGATGACCTGCCCAGGACCGTCTGAAGGACCTTGAATCGGCTATGCAGTCGCAGCCCGAGTTCGACAGATGTTTCAAAAGCGGCAAGTGTTGACGGAGTTGATGCAAAGTTCTTTGCTTGAATATTGTGAGCAGCTTCACTGACGTTTAGTACTAATTTAGTACTGTATGCATTGTTGCATTCGATTCGCTTCAGTGGTCCATCGGGAATCTGGGGCGCAGGCAAGGCGGGGAACTGATATGCCCCGAACTCTTCGAAACAGGGCTACGCATTCAAGCACAGCAGAATAATCCAAAAACAGTTGCAAGAGGAATGGGAATGAAATAAGACCAGGAAGAATAATAAGAAAGCAAAGAAAGACCATGGAAGCCGAATGAGAGGCTGGCTGCCTGCCTCCCGAGAGCTGCGTGTGATGATAGAGACTCTTTTGGGGGGTTAGTTCAGTTCTCTTTCAGAGCCTAAACAACCAAGATCTCGACGAAAGTGGGCAACTATTTACAGACGTGCCTGGCGAATGCAAACTTTAACTTCCGTGCCAGCCTGAACAGCGGCCCAAGCAAGGCCATACCCGTGTTGTCTGCTCAGGCCTCAACTGCGGAATCGAGCCAAGACAGAGGAGCCGTCACGACATGGCTCCTGTCATAGAATATGAATGATATGATATACTATAGAATACAGTATAAGATTGTAGTAGAACAACATATTATGATCCAATACTGAATGTAGATATTCGCTTTTGAGCACGGCCCCAGGACCTCCGAATAGAACTTGCAGAGCTGGCTCCAGACCGGAAGCTGGACGGCTTGGTGAAAGAAGGTTACATCACGGAGGACCCCCCGCGGCACTGTGAGATACGGGTGGTATTTGTAAGGTTTTTTCCCGGACTTACACTCCACGATGTCAGGATTTCTCGCGGTTGGTCTACGAAAAGTTTCGGAACGAAGAGGAGCCCGAGCCTTAGAGGTCTCAGCGTACCAGGATCCTTCTAGTCTAAGTTGGCAGCCTGATTTAGGCCAGTGTTTCTGGAAGACCTACAGCTGGAGGCGCCTAGAAAGACGTGGTCCCGTTGCAGCTTTGCTATTGGTTCTCGCAGTGAAGCTGCATGCGAGTGGCCACTGCCAGAAAACCGGTGGGCTCAATGCTGTGAGAGAGCTTGATGATCTCTTGGCCCAGCCGGGAGCTAAGAACGGGGTGCGGCCGTGTCAGCTTGACATGTTCACACACATCCGGAGGAAATATTTCTGGTTTGTCGTTCTCATCGTGTCTGTGATCTTCAATGTTTGGTACCTCATACATTTGGACTGGCCGATGGCTCAGAAGCACATTGTGCAAGTTCGGGACCAAGCTTGCCTCGCCGTCCAGCGCAGCCTGAGGCAAATCTTCACGACGTATTTCAGAGAAGTTTTCCAAACCTGGGACTTGCCCGGAATTGCAGGTGGGCAAAAACTATGGCAGAGTTTCGGGTTTGACACGGGGGGAAGCGCCATGCGTCACGCTCAGATCGCCTCGCCAACGGCGGCGGCAGCGAATCCAAGTCAGACATTCAGGCAAAGAGTCTCTTCTTCGGGAGCCTGATCTGAATTTCTTCGAGATGACTCGTGGTCGGTGCGTTTCTTGCAGGCAGAGCTCTTCGATGACCCGATGTTCAAGGCGTGTGGTATTCATGCACAACCCATGGCTCTAAGTTCCACATGGTAGCAAGACTTTACACCAGCTTTCACGGGATCAAGCATGCACGGGTTCTGGATGTTTTCAACACACATGCGATGTCAGGGAAGCGTCTTCGGAATGATCTCTGACCACAAGCTGCGTTCTTGGAGGGTGAGGATGACACAGAGAAACATAGAACAACTCAGATGCCGACAAGATGCATGGGCGTGCAACAACTCTCTCTCTCTCTCTCTGTCTATCTATCTCTCTATCTATCTGTCTATCTCTATCTACCTATCTATCTATCTATCTATCTAAATATCTATCTATCTATCTATCTATCCATTTATCTATCTAATCTATCTATCTCTCCATCCATTCATCCATCCATCTAACTACTTATCTACCTATCTACCTATCCATCTATCTCTCTCGCTCTCTCTCCTCCCTCCCTCTCTCTGGTTATCTCCCTCTTCTTTTAATCTCTCTCTCTCTCTCTCTCTCTCTATCTCTTTCTATCTCTCTCTCTCTGTCTCTCGCTCTCNNGCTGTCATGGTCGCAATTTGGGAGGCTGGTTCTAGCGAGCAAGACGTTGGCATTGTCACATCTGCAAATAAAGCTGGCAAGTTTGCTGTTCTGCTTCAGGTTGGCTGGCTGATGGTGCAAGTGGTCGGGACCTGATCTGGGAGTCTTCTCGTGCTAAGACCTGTTACAACTCCTGACTGACATGCAGTGCCCAGTAATTTAAAGAATCTCTCGCACTCTCCAGGGGGCGCGAAGGCAATCTTGCATTACGTTCCTGTCGCGGTTAGACATCCCGCAATTGCGCAACAGTGGTCGTGAAGTCGATGCTCAAAGTGTGCTTTCCTGGGCCCGCGAGGTGTGGGTTGTCTACGTGCTGTACATGGTATGCTGTGAGCAATCGGAGTGCGCACGTGGCGCTTCGGTTCCGATGTTTCAATCTTAAGAGCCGGATTGGAGCTAGATGTCGCATGGGCAGAGATTTGGCAATAAAAGGGGCTTCAGTCGTGCGGCTGTGGGAGTCGGAGGTACAAGCGCTACAATGCCATCGGTTACTTTTTCCAGACACTTCTGCCACAGGCCGGCGTCATAGCATGTTTGAGAAGGATGACTTGTCCTGCTAATGAATCATGAATCACGTCCATTCATTTTTTTTTGCTGACACCTAGCCAGATATCCGAAGCCACGCATGAGTCGCTAACAAAGCCTGCCGAAGGGATGTTTGCAGCTTTCACAGGCCAGCACATTCTCTGCCGTCAAGCTAATGGCCCGAGCCGGAACCTCAGGGTTGGCCGTCTGTGAAACGAGCCGTTTCGTGCACGCAGCAGGTACATCCATCTTTGATACTCAATGAGTATCACGACTGGGTGACTTCGTGAGCGCCCCGAGAGTTGAGAGAGGCGCAGTGCAGCAGAAGTTTAGGTTGGGTCCGCTGTTTTCAAAGGTTCTCCGAGCGAGGATGGTGCTCGGCTCAGGGCTTTCGGTTTCCCAGAGATGCGCAGAGCAGAGCCCGCACTCGCGCCGAGCGAGGTGTGGACACAGAAGGAACACCATCGGCTGGATCATGTGGGAACCTCGAGCTCGGTGATGCTCCATGAGTTTTCATGAGTGCTCGCACTTTTCAACGAAGCTACAAACCTATCACAACCAACCCGCTGTCGCTTGCTCTTGTCTCCAGCGCATACAGTGCGAAGCGGAAGGAACCGAGGGTGGCTGCGATGTAGGAGTTGGCCGTGAGTGTCCTCTAACTCCATCCAGCTTTCAAAAAGCATCATCGGCAGCGTCCAGAAGTGAGTGATGCCATGCAAAGGGGTGCGGCAGTACTGCAGTAGCCGCTTAGAAAGCCTCGTCGAGCGCATGAGTTCCAAAGAGACGCAACGCCCAGGCTGACCATGTCGCTCGAGCCTTAGAGATGCCTACATGCCCTACAGCTTCGGAGCATTCCAGGGCTGGAAGTGAGGTTTACTATCTTCCATGTCCTCTGTGCCACTGCGGCGATCAGCGCGTTCTCCGTCAAGATGCTGGCCTTTGGCTGAGATGTTGGCAGCACTCGGCGCTGCGCGAAAAGGCAGCCTAACCTGGTTGGCAATGTTGATCCGTTCAGGCAGTGAGCTTCAAAGTCGTCAACCCGGACATCTCCTGGTGCGACACTTATCGCCCGGTCAGATGACATGAACAATGCTCAGAAGTGCCAACCATGTCTTTGACAGGAAGCAAGAGTCTGCAGTCTTTGGTTAGCTGCCGCGAGTCCAAGGTGGTATCGTCTTTTCAGTATCCTCGCCAATGCCTCAGTCGTTATGTCATCTTGTAGAGAAGGTGCCCAGTCTTCGGCGGCCTGTTGTGACAGGCAACTTTGAACCAGATCATGGGTGCCGTCTACATTGATCGCGTTTTGCAGGCCCATGCTGATGGTTGCCGGGGGTTTGAAGTAGAACATAGTAGAACAGCAAGTAGATACAGGAGCAGATCGGAAGTCATGTTTGCACTAATCAGCTGAAAACTGATCGATCTGATTTACCGAGGGCCTGACTGAGACAAGTTATTCGGGTCGAAGAAGTGTCGGTCGGACTTTGTGGAGGCAGAAGGCAGTTTTTGAAAGAAGGGGTGAAGGCCGACTGCAGCACAAGCTCCCCCGTTTGCGAGAAGAGGAAGCCCTCGGGGTGCCTGATCGCTTCACTTCAAGGATGCAAGACAGAGATGGGATGAAGAGTGTGCTGCCCGTTGGGCTCACAACCGGGTGCCCGTCTGGCTTGCAAGCTGTGCATAACTCTTGGGACCCAGTTTCCGAATGTTTGGGCAAGGAACCCTACAGTCAGTGGCCTTTGAGATTTGTGACTCCGTACATCGCCTGGTGTTGGCTTTCGTTCTGAATTTCGAGATGAACGCACCCGTGGACATGTTCCTTCGACGCATCGTGCACAGGCCAGAACAGCAACACTCCGAACGAACCAGCAAGCTTTCAGAAAACCATGGCCTTTGCTTTTCTTCGCCGGTGCAGGACCGCGTTTTCCTTTTCGTCTTCGGTGGTCGCGATGCCACATACGAAGACGACGAGCTGGCGTACAAGAACGTGTCTCTGCTGGTTTTGGAGGGTGGATTGCCTTGACTCATTGCCAGTGCCAGCTGCGGCTGTGGCGAGAGGAAGATCCGTGAAATGATGCCAGGCTTACATGACCCGAATGGTCAGAGAGCCTTCCCCTCAGTTTCAGAAGCAGAGCAGCTTCTCGCCCGTCGCAGGGGGAGCCGTCCTATGTTTTGCGGTGCTCAGGATCTGGGTCAAATACTCAGACTCGGGGTCCCAGGCTAAGTTTGCAACCTTCTGTTTATCATCTGATGCTGCCTTTGCACAGTGCATGACGGCATATTCAGTGTGAGGCACTATTTCTCAGCCATCGTCCTGCTTGCGACCTTCGATCACTACGACTTGCAGTGGCTTATGATTGAACAGACGGAGGTGCTCTCTGGGGTACGATGGGTTGACCTCCACAAAAACCAAGCTCAAGCTGGCTGTCTCAGCTTCGAATTCGGTTTGCCTATTTCCGCAGCTGGCGGCCCGACGAATCTTGCTTGTGTTCTTTGTGCAGTTCTCCAATGTGGAGTTCGGCTTGCTTCGCTCTTCCGGTTAGATCTCAGATGCTGAGTGAAACCAGAGCACGCCCGCCTGTGCTCGTGAAGACGTGTTTGTCTCCGTATTTAGTATTTCGTCATCTGGACCCAGTGCACATTAAGTCCTAGCCGCCTTAGCCTCTTAGCCCAAGCAGTGCTCAAAACAGGGAAGCAAGCTTCACTTCCATGTTTCCTTGTCTTCTGTATTACACTGGGTGCGGGGTGCCTGGAAGGATGACGATGACTACGTGCTGCAACGCCTGGGCCTTGCTCCACAAAGGACGGTTTCGGCGTCCCCCACTCAGCCGTCGGGTGGCCGTCACTGTGCAGCTATCGGGGGAACATGTGGGAACAAAGCCAACTAAGCACTAAGCCGAGGCCTGCTGAAGGACTGACATCGCGCCCAAAGAAGGCCGGGGTTCTTAGAGCCTGTGTTGCACCATGCGCTTCGAAGGGTTCCGTGGCTTCATAGAAGGCAACGTCCGGAATTGATGACACCACGTGGTGGAACAAGTTCTGGATAATGCATGGCCCTAAAAGCTGACAAGTCAGACGAGACTCTTCTTTTGCGGGGACTTCCCAAGGCTGGGATGCCATACCATCAGCCGAGTGCAGTCCAGCCCAGAGCTGGAGACCGTCCATGAGGACTTGGATCCTATGTTCTTCTGCCTCGGATGCTTGGCTTCCAGCATGGTCTTCACGCAGGAATTCCAAGAGTCTCCTGTGCATTCCCTGCATTCAGCCGCATCCCAAGCTTGTTCCTTGCCACAGCTCGTGTTTTTTTCCAGTGGGGCCAAGTTTGTCCACCAAGTTTGCAGTCGTGTAGCTGCACGGCTGGCGTGCTCTGGGTGTGACTATCTGCAGCGTGAGCCGCAACGCCAGGATGCTAGATATGCTAGCGAATCAATCAGGTTTGCCATGACCGCCACAGAAGGCTTGCCGAGGTCCCTGAAGGAGGATGAACTGGTGTTTCCTGCCTCGCCTGAGCTTAGCAGCCCTTTGGAGCCTGTTTGGTGGCGACTGGAGTTTAGCTTCTGCCTCCCCTGCGCCAGCGGAACCTTCTGCTGAGAAATCTTTGCGCAATGGCCGTTCAATGCCGACCCTCGGATTGCAGGTTCCCGAGGGGCCAGACACAGCGATTGCTTGGGCCACGAGTTTCGGTTATAGGATGTTAGACATCATAGGAAATGAGTCGAGCGCAGGGCAGGCCATTCGTGGGTCCAGTGTTTCTCGATCTCGTTTGTTTCTCTCAGCACGGCTCTCGGAAAATGGTTTTCAGGAGGCCCACCGCGGCATTCGACAAAGTCTCCAGCTGCTGCGGGTGGATTATATCGACCTTTACCTCATGGCCTCACCCAAAAAGCTTATCGAAACCTGGGATGCCATGGTAGAGATGCGAAAGATGGGCTTGGCCAGGAGTTTAGGAGTCTGTGATTTCGAGCTGCTTCACCTGGAGACCTTGAAGTCCCATGGAAGGGAGCTACCAGAGGTCTTGCAACTCAAGATGAATCCCTTCACCTGGCATCAACATCGGGCTTTACTCGAATGGTGTCAGCGACATGGTGTTCTGATCCAGGCAGCTAGGGTTTTCGCCCTGCCAGCGGCAAAGGCTTTTCAACAGCTCCGATCTATCCCAGCACTCAGAGATCATCGTGCAAAGTCTGCAGCTCAAGTGCTGTTGCGATGGGCGATCCAGATGAACTTTCAGGTGATTCCACGAAGTCGACGCAAGGATCACATTGTCGAAAATGCCGATGTGTGGTCTTTCAATCTCTCAGCCGAAGAGATGCACCAAATTTCAGCCCTTGGGCATGAATCCGCAGAGGGCGGCCGTGAAAATCCTTCGGCCCGCGCCTCCCTTGATTTAGGTGACACTACCCTCGGCAGCAGGTCGAGGGAGCTGTCAAACCCTGTGACGGAACTCTGATGCTGAGAGGGACTGAAAATCCTACTTGCCCTGCAGGCAGTTGCTTGAACAGCAGGCTTCGCCTGAGCAAGGCTGTAGAGCAGCGGGCCTTAGTTTGTCAAATCTGGGCACAAGGCGCCGAAAGATGATGAGGATGTCGAGAGAAACGAGGTCGCCTGGGTCCTGGCTGTCCTCAAAAGATTTGAGCAAACGAATCTCGCGCTTTCGCAGGAGAGGCATGAGAAGACCCAGGAGCAGGCCACGCCGGAAGATCGTCCTCGGCGACGATCGATGTCCGAGAATCTGTCGCACAAGGCCCTGGTGGTGGGATTGAGGAATTCGGGGCATGTCACCTCCTGACAAGGCCTCGGCGGCCTCGAAGATTACTCCCATCAGCTTGAAGCTGCCCTCCTCGGACGGGCTCGGCCCTGTTGCCAGCGAGCGATCGGGGCAGGAAAGGCTGTGTTAGATTCATTGGGCCTTGCCACTGCTGTGAGCATGTGTTCGCTTTGCTGGACCAGGAGGAAAGCGCTCTTTCAGAAACACCGAAAACAAATCGAAACAGCCTGATGGACAACCAGGACTTGAGCGTGTGCCTTCCTTCCACCCTTTCCTTGTGCCGCGTCTATCGGTACGTTTCGGAAGCTCACCTTGTTTGAGGATTGCATCAGCGAGTCGTCGCAGCCACTGCTCTTCCCGGTTCAGGACCGAAGCGCTTTCAAGGGGAATCCAAACGTGGAAGGGGCCGGCAGATGAGCTGGCAGGGAGCGCAGCATGCGAAGCATGGCCAAATGCCAGCAGCGATGGGGCTTGCTCTTGGTGGCCATGGTGAAGGTGTGAGGGATGAGCTGCAGGAAGCTTGGGCGGGACGGGACAAGGAAACGGTGGGCAAGGATCGTGGGCTGCCAAACAGGCTGGGGTTTGTGCCTGCCAGGCGAAATGCCCCAGGCTTCCTCGTCCCGGACCCTGCCTCTACTTCGTGTCATGACTCGACATGGCGACCCGTTTCCTGTTTGGCCAAACACTGCAGATCGTCTTTGAATTTGGTTGGGTAGGATATATACATGAACCATTCGTAATGGAACCCTCTTGCATCAACCCACAATTGTTTATTGTCTTTCAGACGGCGGACCACCAGGGCTTTTCCATTTCCATGGCATTCTCAACCTTGAGAATCCGCCTACGTTATTCACGCCTGGATATCATAGTCGCCATTTCTAGAGAGTTGTCAGATTTGCACAGATCTGGACCTACGGGGTCTCTGAAAGAGTCCGGATTCATTGAAGAGTGCTCAGCCACTCAACATGCCGACCACTGCGTGGCTCCAGGACCCAGCCGGCTCGGACTTGGCGAGCCGAGAGTCCACTCACAGCGACGTCCTCAAGGAAACCGGTTGCACACGAAGGAGAAGTGGTGGGTGGGTTCGGATAGGGGCGGGGGCCTGGATTCTAAGGTTCGACGGGAATGGCAGCAATTGCCCGTGCATTTCAAAGCAGGTGCAACGTCAGGCTCTTACGTAATTGCTCTCGGCTGACGGAACTCTGTTCCAGAATGTTTCTGACTTAGCCCACTCTCTATCGAGGCATTGGGGGATAGCTGGAACGGTTGGACAGAGGGAACCTTCCCGAAACGGCTTGTGCCTGAGAAGTCCGAGAATTTGCTAGACTCTGCTTCGCCGATTTTGTACCTAAGCCCACCGGTGATCGGCATCGTGTTGCATGGCACTATGTATCTAATCTAGACTTTTGAATTCCAGGGCTGGCTATCTCGCGTGGGCAGACGGTTGGAGTGACAGTGGAATCCCGATGTCCAGGCAAAGATTTGCTGCATGCGGGTGAAATTTCCTGACTAATCGAAGTGAATCGCGGGCAGGTCCGACACTAATGAGCTCGTCGATCTGGAACACCTCTTCACAAGCCATGAGGCCAGCATTGGTCTCCAGCAGTGCAGTCACCATCTTGCCGCTTGCAAGGTGCTACCGGGGCCCCGTGTCAATGGTGATGACATGGTATGAATTTAAGAGCTGTTGTCTTTGCAACGCCACTACAGTTTCAAGTTGCGGTTCTTTTACCCAGCATCTAAATGTCATCGAGCGTTGAAGTGGTGTCCGAATATGCACCTCTGAATGTGTCGAGCATGTCTGCCGTCTTCGGGCGTATGGAATTGCAACAGCCGCTTCACATTCACACTGCGAAGCAGTATGGAATGATACTTACTGACTTACTCGTAGCGATCGCACCATAGTGCCGCCGACACCCTTGACCGGTCTGCGAAACAAGGGAGTTAGACTGAGCGCTGGCTCCTTCTCTGTGCGGCGCGCAATTCAGAGCTCACGGCTCTTTGCCTGCAGCTTCTGATGAGTCGCTTCAAGCTGTGCAATTCATAGGAAACCCATCTGAAGCCGACACACACCCACACACCAACCTAGCGATGAAGCTATGACAACCGAAAGCTGCAGCCTCCTAGCAAGGCTTATGACTCTATTGGACACTTCCCTCACGGTCAACGGTAGGCTCGGATGACGGCAAGCACACGCCCATGCCTCCGACATGGTCTGCCCGACTGTGTCTTGGAGCGATCCGAGGCTGTGGACAGCAAAGCGGCGACTTGTCCACCGCTTTGTTATCTCTAGGCTTCCTCTCGTTTCTCTTAACTTCGGTCCCCCACCAGGCCCCCGTCCTCCAAACTCTCACTCTCTCCTTCCCACGTCAAGTGCTCTCTCTCTCTCTCTCTCTCTTTCTTTCGGCGCCTTTCTTTTTCTGTGTCTGCACACCCACGCACAATCATCCTGCCAGAGTTTTTCTATGCTGCAGTTCAGCATGGTGGATCACCAGTGTGGAACCTTTGCACAGTTTCACTCAGCTTTTTCTCTGCCAGGATAGGGCTACTGAGGACTTTCTCGACCACCTCCACAATTTCAGCCTTGAAGAGAAGAAGCTAGTGGACATGCTGTCTGCGCGCGGAGCTTCTTTGCCCAGCTCGCTGTCAAGCATGCTCACGAAGGACTGGGTCGAACATCGTGTCAGGCTTCCTCTTGGGTTCGCTGTTCTCGTTCCGGATCACCCAATGAAGAGAGTCAGAGTTGGAGTGGGCAGCAATTGTATGCACATGTATGCAGTTGCTTCAGATCCGAAGCTTGGAGGCAAGACACATGACGCGTGCGGAAGAAGCAGCAGCGTTTGCCTATGTCACGGATCCACACCTCGCCAAAGACATCCACAGGCTCCGGAACCCCGCAACAGATGCAGAGTTTGCACGTCATGAGTGAGCTGAAAATGCTTTAGGCTGATGCGGGCACAAAGTTGGCCGGCACTTTTCGCGGAGCGCCTGCAGATGCATTTAAAACTGTCTTCCCGGAGCATGGTCTCGTGTCCACTTCATGCCACCTCAGGCACGGACATGCCGTCAAGGCACTGGTGGGATATGTACGCAAAATGGAGCAAGGCTATGCAGCCAAAAGAGCACTGTATCGTGGCACACGATTGCCCGAATATCACCTGACCGAGAACTATGTGGTCGGGCGCATCATCACCTGGCATTCATTTGCGAGTGTCACCAGCGATCGTCAGCTTGCTGAGTCCTACACTCGGCAAGATGACCTGTTCGGTTCCTTCGGGTCCGAGGGTGTCCCCGTTGTCTTTGCGATCCACACGAGTGCCGGTCGCGGAGCGCGGCTTCCTGGGAACCCCGAGCTGCTCCTGGCGCCCTTTACCTACTTCGAGGTTCTGTCCGTGGAGCGTCAGAGAGTTTGGGCGCCGGCCCGAGCGGAACCGGCCTTGAGCACTGCACGGCAGAGCGCTGACATACCTTGGGAAGCACTCAAAATTGCTGTGTCATACGTTGTTTTCAATCGCTGCATTGAGAGTCTGTGGAGGTGGTGGCAAGAAGGGCCCCTCTGGTAATTAGCTACAGGGAAGTGATTGGGGAGCAACCGAAGTGGGTGGGCTTGCATGTTGGGGGCGACATGTTACAGCAAGGTAGGTAAGATCGGCGCAGCCTTGCATGCAAGGCAAATGCAACAAGCAGCTGTCAGGTCATCACGCTGCAGGTGGTGAAATTGCAGCGCTCCTGGGTGGAGACCAGCCCTCACAGACTTGTCCTTCTTCATCCGGGAAGTATGCCGTGGCCGTGGTCAGAAACACCCAAAGAGGCACGTCCTGGCACGGGACTGTGCATCCATGTTTCGGTTTCAACACGCAGGTTTTGTCGGAGCTGGAGGAGGACGCTGAAGAAGCGATCACACGCAAGTTAGACCCTCCAGGCGCATTGAATACTTCCGACTTTTTGAGGTGTCCTGCTAGGATCCACATGCCGATACAAGTAGCACTGGTCGTGACTTGCACTGCTGTCGTCGAGCCACATACCCTAGCGTTACTCTCTGCCTGCTTGGTTGTGACGAAGCAGCAGCTCGGGTTGAGACTTGGTATGAGGTCGCAGATTGCTCAGGTGCACTGCTCCTGGCCACGTTCGTGGCAATGATAAACGGCGTGCTTGTATTGCTGCGACTTGACCAACTTGATCACTGCAAACACCCTCATGTTGCCTCATGAACTTTCTTGGAGGTCAGCAGGCGGGCTAGAAACTGGCAGAAGCTTGTGTCCAAATCCTGAAATAATTGAAGCGAGGTTCGGGGTGGTATGACTGGTGGCTTTTGCTTCCGGCTTGAGGATAGGACTCTGGCGGCGTGATGGAAACTCTTTGTGTCCACAGCATGTTTCCAAGCGTCGAGGTGTTCCACTGTCGTCAGGATGTCTGCAAGTCTTGCGGCCGTCTTCGAAGGGCAGCTTGCATATCGGTGTGTTAGAGCTGCTTGCCGTGGCTGCTCCACAGTCATCTGATCAAGTTATCAAGCAGAGAATGTGATCAAATCTTGAGGGGCAAGCAAGATGTTGCAAGCACTATCACAGAGGGCGTCTGCCGTCGATCTCTGCACAGGGGGGCGTGGCAGCCGTATTGAATAACAAGACTGGGAAGGACGCTTCGTAACGGAGCAGGTACTACTATCTGTTGCTGCAGCATGTGTTAACCTATTGAACTTGTTACTACAAGGCCGCGGCTGCAGGATATCGAAACGATATGGCATGACTGTTGAAGTTGGGCAGGGACACGAGAAGAAGAGATCTGTTTTCGGAAGCAGGTGCATGTCCCTTTTTTCGCACATGGGTGACATCAAACCATTGCACGACCGCCTTTGTCTGTGTGCAAGGAAACACAAAGCCGCAGTGTGGTGCTGGACCAAAAACTTTCAAAATCCACTTTCGCGGTTGTTTCTTGGTTCGGGCCTTGTGGACAAAACTCGCCGTGGTCGATAAGACTCTCCAGAAGGTCAGCATGAAGCTGAAGGCGGCATCGTGACATGGCATGGCAGGCTGTCGCAGTATCATGCAGAATGGCTCTCAACCAGTACCTAGTACCAGGCACAAGAGATGCGACCCGAACCGGACCGACTGCTCTAACCGAAAGCCGAAGACTCGAACCGGAAGTAGGGATCCTCAGAGGAGGTCATCCAAGGACGCAGTCATCAGCTGTTGTTCGACTTCCTTCTGCTTAATCCTGTGGCTAAGGTACTTCGCTGGATTTGATGTAGATGACTTCGCCATCGTATACATGCAGCAGACCTGAGAGAGAGCCGGCTCAGAAGACGTGCCGCAAGTTGCCTGGAACACACCTCTTGGTGGAGGTTCCTTGTCATCCTTGTCTAGAAATTTGCCCAAAGCTATTTGGGGGCGGGGGGGGTTGCAGCGAAGATGCATGTCTCGAGCATAGGCACTGAGCTCAGAAACTGTGGAGCTGTGCCACAACACGACATGTGGCTACCTGGATGTCTTGGTATAGAGTATAGAGGAGGAAGAACACCGTAAAACAAGAGAAAGTTGCTAGAGTCTATTGGTGCCACAACGACCAGCACGCCGACAAGTCGAACAAGTTACAAAGTATATGGGCTGACGTGTCCAGTGTCCGGTGATGTCATGCTTCGCGCCAGCCGTTGCAGGTTGGGCCCTTGTTCTGTAAGATGAACGAAACGTTGGCAAGCTGATTAGAGATTTCTCTGCACAGCAGCTTTTGAGGTCCACGGCCCGTAGTCTGCGGCCAAGACAACTTGCGCGAAGCACCAAAACCAATGGCTCGGGCTCGTGCAAAGGCGGTGCCGTGGAGTCCTGGGAGTGTGCCCCGAGCCCCGGAGGAGACTGTTGCCTTTGCACGCTGCACGAAAGTGCGGACCAAGGCCGTATCCGAATGGCGCCACAGCGCCCATGCAACAACCTGTGAGGGCATACGGAGGCCACGAAGTGGCTCAGAGAGCTTACACCGTCCGATCAAACATATTCGTGCCGTAAGTTGCAGGAGCCCCGCTTCAAGGCATCGTGCCGGGTCAGGCCATCGCTATTGCCCGTCCAATCTGGAGCGAATAGCAGAAGTATCGTTGCATAAGCCTGTCATGTCTGCGGTTGGTACTACGTAGTGTTGTTCAGGTTCATTTGCATTGATTTGGGAGTTGCAGGTCGATGGCCTGCAAGCGGAGGCCCGTGGAACCCACTGCTCTACATTGCTCTGCATAGCCTGAAAGATCCTGAATTTCTATGTCCATGTCCCCTGTGAAAGGTGGCACGGCGGAAGGCTGCAGAGTCTCGTGTGCAGGAACTCGAGGCACCTCAAACCTCTGGGAGCATGGCCAGTAGCATGGCCTATCACTTGCTTACATAGTTTCGCTGCTTTGAACGCTACGGCCCGAGGGGGGCGTGGCTTGCGGTCTAGGATTGATCTCACACCTGCGCTGACATGCAGCAGGACTAGACTCAAGACAAGATCCGGTGAGAAGACTCTTGTTGAACTCTCGTGAGGCACTCGTGGCTCGTTTGCAAAACCGTGTCGCCGTCCTCGAGGGAAAGCCCAAAGGCTCGCGGGCTGGTGCACGTCCGCAATCTGAGAGACGGATGCACACCAGTCAAGCAATATTGAAGCTACAAAGGCGGAAATGTATTTCGAATCCTTGCGTCGACACAAAGAAAGTTG